CCCTTCCCATGCAGCAGCGGAGCCGGCATCACCCTCGCGCGCTGGTCTGCCGACCTCGGCACCGGTTTCTCCCGCCCCTACGACAGGTGACGCTGCCAGGCCTGCCAGCGCCTTCTGGCTTTCGCGAGGTCCGCCACTCGGCGGTGTCAGGGATAGTATTCTTGGCTTTACGTGCCACTACTGCATGCTGCCGCGGTGGACCTAGCATCCCCAACGCTCGATGCCTGGAGGACTGACCCTCGCACAGCCAGCTGGTGGGAACATGCACGCCAACTCCTTGCGGATTCCGCGCCGGTCACCCCACAGCTCCTCGTTGCCGCGCTCGCCCGCGCTGCCGAGACGGCACCAGCGTATGCACACCACATGCCCGACCTCACCGCGCGCATCAGCAATGCCGGGCTCCCCCACGGCTCTTGTGTGCACGTTGGTTGGGCCGTGCGGCAACTGCTTTTATCGCCGGTGCAAGAAGACCTTCTGGAGTGCTTCGGCGGCCTCTCGCTGGCTTCTGCGGTCGACCGCCGCTCCAACCAGTTCCGACCGGCCCCCGCACCGGCTCCCCTGCCACCTCCAGTGGCTGCACCACCAGCGCCTGTCCCCTCCCCACAAGCTGCCGGAAACATGCCGGATGAGCCATTACAGGAGGCAGCCGAGGAATTGGACGACCCTGTCCTCGCGGCCGCCGCGAGGCGAGTGCAGGAACGCGCCGTGTCCCGAGGCGCCGGGCGAGGTCGCCGGGGACATGGACGCGGACGACGGAGCTTCGCTGCTCCTGAAGCGGCTGATCCTGCAGTTGAGCCCACAACAGCATCCGAGCCTTTCCCAACCCGCGCGACTCCAGGCACTCGGCGGGAACGTGCGCATGCCCTTTCCGAGGCGGGCATGCGCCAAGGCCTGGCTTCCCTGGACCCTATGTGCCTGCAGACAGCTTGTCGGGTGCGCGCCCTCGCGCTGCAATCACCTCCCGCGTGCCCGTGGAGCCCTGCGCACCGCGCTACGTGCAGGCCTGCGGCTCGCCGTGCACCCTACCTGCCCTGAAGACGAGGTGCGCGGCTGGAAGCTTTTTATGCTCGCACACCGTATGCTCCTCTACGGTTCCCCCGGCGAGGCTCGCGTGCCACCGGCTGAGCTTGACCGACGCATCGAAGCTTTCCGAGCCGGACGCTGGAGTGACCTTCTGCAGGAGGCGTCGGCCGCAGCTGCCGCTGCCCCTAGCGCGCAGCGCGGCGATCCAGCCAGCGATGGCGCGCGAGCACACCGCGCCGTTGCCCTCGTCCACCTGGGTGAGCTCTCCGCCGCCGCTCGCACGCTCACCTCCGAGCCGTTGGCTCCTGGGAATAGTGACACTCTCGCAGAACTGCGTGACCCCGAGCGTCGTCCCCCGGCACCCCACGCGCCTTTGCCCGACGCCACGCTCCGCCACGTCCCGGACCGCCCCTGTCCGCTCCCACTACAAGCCTTTGATCACTGTGTGCGGAGTGCCCGGCGTGGCTCCGCGGCTGGGCTTTCAGGGGGGAAGAACGAGCATGTCCGCATCCTTCTCGACGATCCAGGTCCCCGTTGACATCCTGGACGGCCTGCGCGTTGGACGATTGGTCGCCCTGCATAATATGGTCGGGTGCGAGCGCTTGTCGTCGGCGACGTGCTGCGCCGACTCGTCGGGCACGCCTTAGCTCAACACTTCGCGCCCCAGTTCCAAGCTGCTTGCATGCCACACAAATTCGGACTCAGCACCCGTGTGGGCACCGAAGCTGTCAATCGCTTGCTCCGCGCAGCAACCGAAGCCAACCCCCGCGCCACCATCCTTTCAGTTGATGCCGTCGGCGCCTTCGACCATGTTGCTTGGGGGGACATCTTGGATGCCTTGCTGACTAACCCGGAGCTCCAGCCCCTTCTGCCTTACTCCCGGCAGTTCTACGCGAGCCCCAGCACATACACTTGGTACGACGACCATGGGGTCGCCCACGACGTCCACCAAGGTGAAGGCGGCGAACAGGGGGACCCGCTCATGCCGGCCTTCTACGCGTTGGCCCAGCACACCGCCTTGAATGATCTGCAGGGCTTGCTTCAAGATGGGGAGGCCGTCTTCGCGTTCCTTGACGACGTGTACATCGTCGCCCTGCCCCCGCGCGTCCGGGAACTTTACGATGCCAGGATCTGGAATGCGGCAGGCGAGGAACCACCCAACATCGCTGACCTCGCCAGGGACTCCAGTGAACGCGTCTGGGTCGGGGATTGGTCCATCTCCCCGCAGCTCCAAGGGCTCAAAGTCCTGGGGTCCCCGCTTGGGCACGACGCCTTCGTCGCCCGCCATCTTGGCCTGAAGCGTGACGAACAGGCTGTCAGGACCGTTTGCTGCGCCGCATCCCCTTGCTCGAGGACCTGCAGGCAGCATGGCTTCTGCTCCAGGCCTGCGCCGCTCCGCGCGCCAACTATCTGCTTCGCATCTTGCCCCCGCACCTTACGGCAGATTACGCCGCAGCGCATGATGCGGCGGTCGCCCGGTGCTTGGCTGCGCTGCTCGAGCACGGTGATGCGCCCCTGCCTCCCGCCGGGCATCGAGTTGCTCACCTGCCCCTGCGCTTCGGTGGACTTGGCCTCAGCTCGGCTTGCAACGACGGCCCTGCAGCGCACTGGGCCTCCTGGTGCGACACGCTGCCGGTCATCAGCGCCCGCGCCCCCGCCGCCGCAACCCGCCTCCTTCGGGCCCCCGGCGGCGACGAGCCACTGCCATCCACGGCAGCCGCCGTCTTTGCGCGAGCACACTTGCAGCACAACGGCTTCGACGTCCCCGACTGGGTCACTGCGACAGCTGGCCCCCCCCCCCCACCTCCTCCCTGCCGGCCTGGCGAAGCGACCGCACCACCGTCTTTCAAAGGATGGCAGCGGCTTGCCGCCCGCGCGTGTGATGAGCGCGCGTACGAAACGCATCCTTCTGAACTCCCACCTGCGTCTCGTGCGCTGCTGCTTTCGCAAGCGGGGCCCTTCGCCGGCCGCGCCTTCAGCGTCATGCCCACACATGACGACACCAGCATCCCTAGCTCCCAATTCCGAGTGCTGCTGCTGCGGCGCCTGCGCATGCCCTTGCAGCTCGCGCCGCGTAGATGCAGCTGCCGTGGACAGCTCGATGAGCTTGGTGACCACCGCGCGGCGTGTGCCACCTCCGGCGTCCTGTCCACGTGCGCCGTGCCCCTGGAGCACGCCGTCGCGCGTGTGTGCCGCGAGGCCGGTGCAAGGGTCGCCCGCCACGTGCGTATGTTGCGAAGGAAGGCCGATGGTTCTGGTTGAGGAGCGGGGGATCTCGGTCGACATTGGCTGCACCGGAATGCGGCAGGGAAAAGAGGCTGGTCGGGAAGTCGCGGGCAGGCTCAAAGGCGAGCAAAGCAGACCACCGAAGCACGTAAGTAGATATGCATGCACCCTGCAATTGTGGGGCTGCAGACCGGGCGCGGCAGTGGGCAAGGAGCGGAGGAAAGTAGCAGCTTCGGGGCACCACAGCCGCCGGTTGCTATGCCCAGCACGACGTGGCGGCAGTGGCCGGAGTTGCAAAGTTCTAGATAAGTGCGCTGCTTCGCCGGAGTTGCAAAGTTCTAGATAAGTGCGCTGCTTCGCCAGGCGAGCGTGGCGCAAAGCAGCCCCGGCAACGCTTGCCGTCACGCCGAGGCTCGCCGGTTGCAGTCACGAGGGCGACACGAGGGTGATGTCGACCGCGACTTTGACCCCTCCCCGGAGCGACAAGCCGTTTGCTTTGACCTCGATGCGGCGGTCATTCTGTCGGCAGGGTGCGACATTGAGGTCCCGCACCAAAACATTGGTTGCAACAGTAGCGCCAGCTTCACGGCAGACACGGGCGGCAGCACGCTTTAGTGGGTCAGTTCTGGCGCGACGGGCGGCGTGGCGTCCCCTTAGCTTGTTTCTAGTAGGGCTAATCCTGCGCATGCCGATTGCGAACGAAAGTGAAAAAAAGGTCTGTTAAAAAAAAAAGAACTTCCCGTCGGCGGTGCGCTTGCTTGGGGACAGGTATACCATAGGAATGGCCTGCCAAGCAGGGAAGTGACCGCGGTGCCACCAGCCGCCGATCATGGTACGGGTGTGCCATGCATGCCGTGCGCCAGCGGAAAGCACGCTCGCAGAATCGAGCAGGAGCGGGAAACACAGCATTTTTTTGTTCACGCTTTTCAGCCCAAGTCTGCGGGGAGTTCGTGCTGGCGGCGAGCGGCAACAGTGGTGGTTCGGCGTCGGCATGCTGGAGCAACCCTGCATGGGGGCTCCACACTGTTGGAAGCGACGGGAGGCGGCGCGTCCGCGAGCTCCCTCGCGCGGTGGACACGACTGGCCGTGAGGGTCTAGGCATTACTTGTGAGGTCGAGCACATTTGCCAAGCCTTCAACCCTTCGTCGCTGCGCCTCTCCCAGTAGCTCCGCCGTTTCAGGGAGTGGGCCGCCTAGCGACACGCACACGTGACCTCGCTTGTCGAACTGCTGCTTGGCCGCCTCCACGTTCGAACGCCTGGTTGACAGCCTCAGGCGCGTGTCTTCTGCACCCGCCAACGCGCCAAGCGCCGAAGCTACTGCCGCAAACCATGACGCAGCGGCACGGCCTGCGCCAGCCCAAAGCACTGCCGTCACCGCCGACTCGCAGGACCCCGCTGCAGTCGCGACAAATGCCACTGCACACCTCGGCTCCGGCGCCCCTACCAACACCTGTAGCGCCTGCGACGAGCGCCAGCGGAATAACGGCTTGTGCATGTCCCTTGCGAAGATTTCCAAACACTCGCAAGTCTATGGGATAATGGTGCGTGCGAGGCATTCTGGGATGTTATTCAAACATATTCAAGCGATGCAAATCAATCTTGTTCTCAATTTTTGGCTCGAGCACGAAGAATGGCAGCAGAGATGCCACGATAATTCGTCAGTGTGCGCGCGGCTCAGGTTTGTTCTCGTTTTTCCTATGAACCCAAAGTTTTTGGGGTTTTGTTCGGCCTAGGGACGTTGCCGTGGTGAATGTCGATGCCATTGGGACCTGGCATGGACCATATCATGAACGTGGTGTCTTTGCACCAGAAGCTGGGCAACAACAAGTTTTCGCAGTTTTGCTGACTGTGTGTCCATCCTGCACGGAAAATTAGAGCCGCTTGTGTTGATGAACGCACCGAGGCAAGCACTTCATCAGCTGGTGGATTCGCAGCACGAGACTCTCCGTGAAGCTTTGAGACATGCGGATGTGGGCGATGAAGTGGTTCAGCTGGCGGCTCAATTTGTGCATGTGCAGATTTGAATATTTGTCATAGGCAGTTCCTGCATGATGATTGCGCAGGCCCGAACCTGCACATCAGATGCTCGTGTTGGAAGGCACTGTTGGACTAAGCCGCTTTTGTCGTGCACGGGCAGTGAGGAGCTGTTGTCATGTGTTGTCGGGAATGTATACAACAATGTAAGAACGTGCGATCATGCCAGGTGCTTTCCAATGCCTGGAGCACCGTGCTCGTCCTTTGCAGCCACTGTTGCCGCCAGATATTGACCCTGCCCCTCACACACTTCAGTGGATGCCTGGCTTGAATCAGACCATAGGATTCAAGAGTTTCGAAACCAAGCGGGTATGGAGAATGGAAAGACGCTGAATTCGGGGTTTTTCCTTTGCAGCAGCCCATGTGCACGAGGTTTGACAGCAGAAGCAACCGAATGCCAGGGTATTGGATAGATCGGGCCTGACATTCCTGTGCTGCAGGACCAGCCAGTCAGAAACTGTCAGCCTCCCCAGCCCTCGTGTGAGCGACGATGTCACGCCCTGAGTCGAGAAGCTCCATCCTGGTTGAGTGTGCTGCGCATGCACGGCAGGGTCTGTTAGATGCAGTTGCAGCCTGATGAGTCGATTTTGTGAGTGCCAAACCTCATGTTTCTAGTCTACGGTTCGTTGGCATGGGCTCCATGGCTGAGCTTAGATGTTCACGAAGTGCTTTCCAACATGTACTGTAGGGTTCTAGACTCCATAACCCATGCCGTCTCATCTTGCCGTGACGCTCAGGTGATGGATCACGCAGTGTCGGCAAAGATCCAGGAAATCGACTCTCAACTCGAGTCGGAGATTCAGAACGGCGGTGCAGATCCTGACAGCATGACCGCTCATAACTCGCGTAGTACTTCTTTCATGGAGAAGTGCTATGCGCAGTGTTTGGAGCCAGCAAAAGTTGGAGGATTATGAAAGGTGGCTTTTGTATTGCTTTGGACACAGTCAATCTCAAGACTATTGTGGAGTCATCGGAACTCTGAAATCTCAGTTGGCAAGCCGCCTGTGAGAAACATAGACGAAGCCCTGAAGCTTCCATTTTCGGTTTTAAAGGTTGAAGCCTGGGACCTGGTGAGCTCTGCAGCTTTGCAGGAACCTGGGGAGAATGTCAGAGGGCACGAACCCCTTCGGAGGTGGCTCCGTCGGGGCTTCCGATTTGCTGAATTTTGGTCCTTGCGTCGTTGACTTGTCCTCCACGGGTTATGGACATGTTTGGAGGTTGTGGTGGCTGGTGGTTAGTTTGGTGTATGATTCCAGGACACGAAATCCCCCTGGCAGGTTCAGCATGGAAGCTTAAGCTAGAACTCTGCTCAGCTCACGTCTAGAGCCCGATTTCCCCAAACCCTCGAAAACTTCATGGTCGTTTGCCGGTGCCTTGAGTGTGAGAGCCGAGACACTGGATCGCAAGCCTTGAGTTCCAAAACAGTACGGACGTTTTGCGAAGCACGCGGACCGTTGTGGACCAGCAACCCTGGGAACCCTGGCAGCCTGGCAGGGAAGGACCAGGGCAAGAGCCCCATCCTGATGCGATTGGACATGCTGGTCCTGCCCTCGGTGTTGCCGACCAGATCCTACTGGTATGCCGGCGTGCCGGAACGCACAGTGCATGACAATTTGCAATGTATAGGGTTGCGAGGCCGTTCAAATTGGATCCTTGTTTACAGCGCGGGTCTTTCTGCATGTTGTGTGCTTCGGTGTGATGTGTTTTCTGTCCCGGCATGCTTCAGTTTCGAAAAGTGTTTTTATTACCTTGCATGACTCACAGCGCGCGAGTTTGCACCATACCATAAAACTTGCTGAAAACATGTTATGCCGCTATGCCGCATCATTTGCGTCATGTTGCTTTATGAGGACTAGGAGTCTTTGCTGTCAGCCTCAAGAGGTTCAGGGGTTCTTTCTGGTGGGGAGATGTTCCAGATGAGTGAGCTTGCAGGAGCGCGATTGGAATTGAAGAGGAATTTAGGAAAGGTGGATTTCCGGGTTTTTTCCAGTCTCCGAAATTTTTCATGCCGCACTGGCCAGCCACTGACGCTTTGATGGGTGCTTCCGTACTGACTGGTGCGGCGGGAAGGTTTCTCCTGGATCTTGTTGATTACCGGCATTCAACCAAGCCCGCGCCATTTTAATTTGATGAATGGTGGCAATAGCGGCTAGGTTGTTCCCGGGTTCTACGTCCTTGGAGGTGCTTGCTTTCTTGGTTCGCAGCTGCGAGTCATTCGCAAAGCGGTTAGGCTGGGATCTTCGTGCTATTGAACTCGCTGGTCATGGCCGTGGAGCTGGAGTTGGAAGGATGGGTTGCGACTATGCGCTGCTCTTCCTCTTTGACTTGCAAGAACAGAGGTCGTTAAGTTTTCCAGCAGCAAGACTTGCATCATCAGCACCAGCAGTAGTAGGAGCATGGTTGGAATTATGGTCAAGTTTCACAAGTCCAATCAAAGTTGTTAACTTGGACGATCAGATCGTAGTGATGCAATGGAGTTGTCGAAGGTGCACATGCTAGGCCATTTTTGGGCACGAGTAATTTCTGATGCTTACGTGAGCGTGACCTTGTCTACTGGGCCTCGATGCAGCTTCAGATGTTGAATTTCTAGTTTCAGTTTTCAAAGCGGGCCAAGAAATTTCGGATTCCATTTGAGTCGATCCTTCGAATGCATGCACCGTTTGAGCGTCCAGGACGCGCCACCGGCGCCAAGATAGGTCTGGAGACCTTACCTGACACTTGAAGCAAGAGTTTCGGTGCGCGGGTCTTACAACCCGCTGCCCCTGAGCTTTAGTCGTGGTTCCGAATTGAGGCCACGAAAAGCTTAAGCCTACGTAAGTTGTCCCTCAAAGTCCCCCCTTCTTCCCTCTTAGTCTGGTGTCCTGATCTTGAAATCAAGATTCGCTAAGCAGTTAGGAGTAAACTTGGCGCAGTTTTGTCGCTTCGAGAGACGAGTCCGATGGGTCAAGCATCCTTCATCACATTCTGAAGTTTGAGGTGGAGGGTCGAGCCGCTTACTGGCTTACACAGCACTATCAGAACTGCCTCACGCACGCCAAAATGCAATACCACGCACAGCAACATACCACGACGGAATGCAAGACGCTGGGTTGCCTGTGTAGCAGCTTGCCATTTGACAGCATCCGGTAGGATACTAAGATAAACCTTCAGAGCACGTCAAATTTGAGATTTGAGGCATGCCGGTGCCTGCTGTAGTTCTGCATGACAGTTCAAACTCCACACCGTGGCGAGCATTCTCTCAAGCCCCAGAGCTGCGCCATCAACTTCTCTAAACCCCACACGAACAAGTCGAGAAGTTTGTTTGCTAAGTGGGTGGGAGAAGCGCAACACCTGAACCGCACAGCCCCAGGGTGTTGACATGTCCGACTTCTTCAATGCCTGCGACAACATCTTTGCAGTCTTGCGCCCTCACCTGCAGGTTTGTTTCTTCGCTCTCAGGATTGACATTCTGAGAGTGCTAGACCTGCAAACAATTGTGGTGTCGGTGGCTCGAGCTATGATTCTAATCTGGTGCATTGTGCTGTTCCTGGATGCCACCGTGCGTTTTGCTGCTTTCTTGACTGCAGACCCTTGTTTCATACGTGTGTGATTGTGTGTTCCCGCAGTCAGAGCCTCGATTTGTCCTGGAGCAGGTACTTTCTCGAACTCTGTGCGCGAACATACTACGAGGGCTGCAGCTTTTTCCGTGGTGCAGCGTTGCTTGTCTTGGCTTTCACATTTTCACATTACATGCTGCCAAAGTTAATCTGTCCAAAGTTGGTGGCTAGATGCCGCTGCGGGTGATGATGGTGACGATTGGGAGGGGATGGGGAGTAGGAGTAGGAGTCCGTGTGCGGGTAGGGGTTAGAGTAGGAGTAGGAGCATTAATAGGATCAGGAATTGTAGTCGTAGGTCGTAGTCGTAGGAATAGTCGTGGTAGTAGTGGTAGTAGTAGTAGTAGTAGTAGTAGTAGTAGTAGTAACTTGGTAGCACTTGGTAGTAGTAGCAGCAGCAGTGGTCGTGGTCGGGGTAGTCATGCAGTACCAGTAGCAGGAGTTGTAGTAGCAGTAGTCGCGGTAGTCTTGGTGGTACTCGTAGCAGTATCAGCAGTTGTTGGCAGAAACGGTAGTAGTGGTAGGAGGGGCAGTGGTGGTAGTCGGGGTGGTGGTGGTGGTGGTGGTGGTGGTAGTAGTAGTACGGCATCCCCCCCGGTGCGACGCCCGGACCTCTTATGTTTTGGACTTGTTATGGTCGGAAATGCTGTGTTTTACAGCA